TTATCATTGGTTATAACTTGCCCTAATTCATTAATAATAGTTCGTGGTCCTGATTGTGGATGATTACTCATTAGTTTCTGAAACATCTGAGCTGTTCGTTCGGGGGATTCTAGTGCCCGATGTTCTGCTGCTATGGTCTTTTGTGTTTCTATTTTCGTGACTAGGTCGTGAATTTCCCTAATTCGACGAAGTGTGGAAAAATAACTCACAGAGGGGTCGCGTAGCTGTTTTTGTAGCTTTTTTAGTTTAGTTGAAAGGAAGTTCGGGATTGGTGATTTCTTATACGGGAGTCTTTCGCCTATCAAGGTATCTCGAATTACAAATAGGACAGAGTATAATAGGTTAACTGCTTCCATAGGGGATGTTGTAAGAAGATATGGGCTCCAGTCCAATGATCTAATATAGTTGTTCATGGAGTCCTCATCAAGTTTTTTTGGGTTTAGGCGGGTGTTACTAAAATGGGGTGCTAGTTTTGCGTTTAAGGGGAGTGTTGATATTATTGCTTTGTGGTCACTTTCAAAGGTTGCGCAGTCTTAGTGCATATAGAGGGGCCAGATATCGTTGGTGAAAATAAAGTCTAGTATATTGTTTCCTCGAGTGGGTTTGTCAGCTATTTGTGTCCAGTTATTAAAGATAATTGTAGACAAGAATTCTTCGTGCCTGGTAGGTGCTGATAATTCGACCCAGTTTATTTCTGGGCGGTTTAGGTCGCCTGCAGTTATCTTATATTCAGTTTTTATGTTAGCTATATTGCTTATTAAGAGGTTGAGGCTTGTGTCATCACTACTACATTCTGGAGGGGAGTAGAGGCATCCGACTAGTATGTTTTCCTGGGCATGAGATTTTATTGTGGCAAAACATGCTTCTACAGCAAAGGTTTCGGTTGGGACATCAATACCACTTTGCTCAATGCTAGTTTTGATGTAGATAAGACAACCTCCGCCTTGTTTATTAACACGGTCCTGTCGATAGAAATTATAATTTGGGACATATAGTGAAGCATTCGATATAAGCTCATTTGCCCATGTTTCTGTAATGCAAATTACATCGGGGTTATATATTTCAACAAAAGTTCTAAGTTGGGATATTTTGTTGACAATCGATCTGGAATTAATAACATCTATCTTTAGGATGTTGGATATGGAAGAGATGGGCTGTGGTGAAAAAAGGATTTCTGGGGGTACTTTGAGTGAGTGATGGACTAAATGGAGGTAGGTATGTGATTCTCGGAGGATATGGTGATGCGTATGGCGGAGTGTGAGTGCATGGGCTGGTGTGTATGGACAGAGGGTACATATGGGGAGGTGCGTTAACTAGATGGTAATTGTACCCACATGGAGTTTCAGTTGGGGAGGTGTAAAAGCCAAAGTAATTTGTAGGGTTGTAATTAGGTGGTAAGGAGTTTGGAATGCTAGAGTGGTTTGGCTTATTCCTATGCCATGCAGGTAGATTTTGGGGAGTCGAGATGCCGTTATAGAAGCTTGTTTGTTTTTGGTTAGAGTTTGGTGGGCTTCTATTTGTTCTGTCAACATACCTAGGGCGTTTTGGTTGTGTTGGTGTGCTTAACAAGGCCTTTTGGTTTATGTGTCTTGTTTGGCAGTCGTTTTCTAGTACTGATTGATCGGTCTTGGGGGATGTAGTAAAACTTATACTGTTATCTAAGGATGTCACATGACTCGGTCCGGGATCTGCATTATCGTTTTGTTCTGGTTGAACGTTGTTATTTTGTTTTGCCTTCCTCGTTTGTTTCCGACCAGCAGTTCTAACTGTTTTTGCAGTTGCGCGTTTTTTATCATGAGAACTAGAGTCAGACGTGCTTGCTGGAGGTCCTTCTGCGGGGGCTGTGGGTTTATCATTTGGTTAACGCTGGCCTGTGTATTTCTTTTTATAAGTGCTAGAAGTAGAAGTAGTGGCTAAAGGTTCAGTTGTGGGACCGGAGTGCTGATTATCGTATTTGTAGCTGGTGTCTTTTTCCCGAAGTTTACGTCTTTGCATAGGTGCCAAATCTGGACCTATAAGCGAGTTTAGGTTCCGCAGATTTCTCTTTACTTCGGGATTTTGTAAGACAGTCTCAGCTTCCGCCTGTGAGTAGAAGGTTACTAAGACGGGTTTATTTTTGCTTCTGGAGTGAAGTCTTTTAGTGTTAGCTACTCTGATATTGAAGCCACACGAATGTATAAAATTTTGAATTGATGGTGTCGGATTAACTGTGTGGGGTATATTACGGATAATTAAATTGAGCCTGCGTTTCGATCTATCCGCGACTTCTGACGAAACTAAATGTATAATCGATTCAACTTGTGGTAGGCTCGTTAGGCTGTTCGTGAATCTATTTGAGTCTGTTAGTGAATCGAGAATCGTAAAGATATGTTCATGTTTCTCGATGAACTTCTGTAAACGGACGATGGCCGAAAGATCTACTTTGTCGACAGCAAACGTAACATCAGTCATGGTTGAATGGAGAGAGTGGAATGGATTTATGTGTTATTTTCGACAGCTAATAAAAATCGACGCAAAATCGACGCAAAATCGACGCAGAAATATGTTAAATATTTCAGTTATAAATGAATTTCAACTTATCTCGGGTCTGAGGATTTTGAACGCTTGTGCACAATCGGCAATCGGTTCATATTACATACCGATCACCAGGTACTGAGGTGGTAAGACAACTTCAAGAATCCTGCTGGTCAATTCGCGCGCTGGCAGACAAACCTTTTTAGAGTATTCATACACTGTCGTCCATCGTGCCGGTAAGCAACATAAAAAATGCTTCCGAGCAGCTCCGGCCGGATTTTGCATTCAATCCCATTAAATGACCGAACATCCTTATGTCGGAATTACTCAGGCTAAATTGACATTCCTATATACTTATTCTCAAGTTATCTACTTGAAGTTTGATGAAGTCAAAGCGCCAGTTTCACAACGAAACTCCGACGTCATTGCCATTGCAGAACTTGCCTTGATAAAGATAAGGAAGAGGAAAGCTCAAAACCTAGAATTTCTGACGGTTTACAGACCTCCTATTCTTCCGAGCTTTGCTGATGAGTCGTTGCTTCATTTAGTCAAGGAAGAAGCTAGCCACCAGGAGGTTCTTACTGCTGAGGATTTCAACGCACCTACGACAGAGTAGGAAACGGTGGGCCAACTTTCTTCAGCAATACGTTAATGGACGCCATACTCGACCTCCCTCTGGCGCAGTTTGTGAAGTCAACAACAAGATTTATAAAGAATCAGAGAACGAATTGCCTATACTTGGTTCACATTGAAAACTTCTCTTTATTTTACGAAGAGTATTCCAGTGCGCCTGTCGGAAAGAGTGACCATATTACGCTTCCATGTATTTACTCACACTTCTCTCAACCCCAGACGAGAACAGATGATCAGCCTAATATCTGGAAGGTGCTTTTTGACACGATTAAGAACGAATGACAGATCACAAGCGCAATCACTACGGTATATTCGATCGGTGGATTCAGTGCCCAAAATTTATGGGAGTTCTTCCGAATGCGAAAGAAACGATTACTAGGTTTCTTGAACAAAGGACAGTTCTGCAGAAATTTCACATTTCTGAGTAATTTCTTCCAAGTTGGAATTGCGTTCACAGAAGAGGACCGACGATATTTGACGGCATAACAAAAGAGAGCAGGCAGGTGTTACAAGACGCACCTTTATAGAATCCATGCTCAGCAACACTCAGTTGATTATTCTCTGTTAAGTGACACATCATCTTATCTTTGATCAATATCTCTAAGAACTTCGAACCTTCTGGGAGGGGGTTTATGGGCCGAAGGTCATCAAATGACGCAAATTTAAGTCAGTTTATTAAGGGAATGAGGCTTTCGCCCTTGAGCTCCTTATTCATATCGATAAGCAGAAATAAAGTCATCAATTACATCAGCAAATGCGGAAAGTTCAAAAGTTAGCGGTAAGTGTGAGCCAGGCGCATACTGCCGCCGCTCAAACAATCGTGATTATATGTAGTGTAGTTTTTCAACAAATGAGCATCTAGTCTACACTTAAAGGATTGGACACTTTCGGAAAGAACCAAAGCATCAGGGAGTCCGTTCCATGCCCCAATAACCCTGTGAGAGAAGGCGTTCCGTTGGACGTCCGAATGAGCCAGCTTCCTCTGCAGTTTGAAGGGATGACCACGCAGACTGTCAGTCCCGGCCAATTCGAAGAATTCATCAAAGTTTAGGGCACACCCACGGCCTCTGACAATCCTGTAGGTTTGAATGAGATCGCCGCGCAGTCGCCTGTAATTTAGAGGAAACAGATTTAGTTCGGTCAGCCTGGTTTCGTAAGGCAAATTATGGAGATTCTTGACCATCTTCGTAGCCAACGCCTGTACTCTTTCCAGTCGTTGATAATCTTTCTTCAACCATGGTCACCAGGCCTGGACTGCATACTTTAAGTGAGAGCAAACAAATGCCTCATAGGTTTTCCCGAACAGCTCTTTATCGATCTGCACAAATCCTCGCCTCAGCGCAAATAACACCCTTATTGCACTTTGGACTGTCCTTTGACACTGTAATGATGGTTTCAGCGAGGAGGCCATTAGGACGCCCAGGTCTTTCTATCCCACAACATTTGAGAGGGGCTGACCACCAAGGACGTATTGAAAGGAATCGACCTCCTTATTGGTCTTTTTGGTGCGGAATCTCATGAACACACATTTTTCCATATTAAAATTAAGGAGCCAACGAGCTGACCAGCTGCTCAGGCGGTTGAGAGTGTCTTGAAGTGCGTACCTGTCTGCGTCAGATCTGAGGGGTCTCCACAGCTTAAAATTGTCAGCAAACATGATGACGCTGCATCTCAGGTCGTCGAAGCAGTCATTAATGTAAACCAGGAATAGCAACGGCCCTAGGACGGAGCCCTGGGGTACACCACTTAGAATGGGGGTAGGAGTTGACCTTGAGGCCTGAATGCACACGGTTTGCAATCTTCCGGTAAGAAAATCTGTTATCCATGTCAGCAGCCTTCCTCTTATCCCAATTTCAGAGTTTGTAGACTAAGCGTTTGTGTGAGACGCTGTCAAAGGCTTTCTTGAAGTCTGTGTAGATGACATCGACCCTAACATCCTCGTCCAGTGCGCGAGTCCATTGCTCCGCCGAGAGCAATAAACTGGAAAGGCAGGAGCGGTTCTGTCTGAAGCTGTGCTGCAGGTCTGAGAGTAAATCGCCCTGCTCCAGGAACTTCACTGTTGCTATCTTAACTATGGCCTCCATTATTTTACAGCAGATACATGTTAGACTAACAGCCCAGTAATTGTTGGCATTAGTGCGAGCCCCGCCCTTATGTATCGGAAAAATATTTGCTGTCTTCCATTCCGATGACGAGCGGAAGATGTGTGCCAGTGGTTTGAAGAATTCATTCGCCAATTTTTTCAAGAATTTGGCCGGTATATTGTCTGGACCCGAGGACTTTGCTTCTTTGAGATTTTGCAGCACCCTTTCAATGACAGCTGTCGGGAAGAGTATGGAGTCAAGAACGGGACCAGTAGTCTCAACAGCAGTGCTGGCACTACGACTGCGAAACTCTGTTTCTTTAGTAAAAACCGAGGCAAAATACTGCCCTAAGTGCTCGGCTTTCTCGCTGTTCTCAATTATCTCTACACCATTATCATCCTCCAGCACCGCGAACGGGTCCTTATTTTTCAGTCTACTGTTAAGGTAGTGAACTTAAATCTTGGGCTTCTGTTCAGCCTGTCGGATAATTATGGATTCGTACTCCTTCCGTGCCTGACGGATACATTTTTTGACTGCATTTCGTTGACGACGAAGTTCTTCGAAATGCGCTAGTGACGCAGTTTCCCTGAATATTTTCCATCTTTTGCTTTTCTTCCGTAGCTGCCTATTTAGGTCCCTAGTTAATTAAGCAGGTCAATTAGTTATTTTTTGTACTTTAGGTGGACAACAGCGCCGAATCAGGTCGAGTGAAATCGCCTTAAAAGATCTCCAGTTGTCCTCCGGATTTCCCTTCAGTAATTGGTCCCAATTCATGGACAGCAATTCGTTCTTCGTCGTGTTAAAATCTGTCTTCCATATATTAGGTTGGCCTCCTGTTCTCTTCTGGCGTTGACAGAAGAGCGAGTAATCCCATATTAATGTAGCATGATCACTTTTCCCGAGAGGTGCATTGGAATACACTTCGTCGATATTAGAGAAGCCTTTAGTGAAAACTAGGTCTAGACAATTCGCTCTCTTGTTCTCTCGAAATCTTGTTGGTACCTTCACATGTTGCGCCAGAGGGAGATCGAGTGTGAGGTCCAGTAGCTTATTGCAAAAAAAGCTGGCCCACCGTTAACTGCCATAGTTTCCCACTCTATTGCAGGTATGTTGGAATCCCAAGCAATAAGTACCTCTTGGTGGCTAGCTACGTCTTCGACTAAACCAAGGAGCGACTCATCAGCTGCACTTAGAAGGTTTGTTGGTCTGTAAATAGCCAGGAATTCTTGATTTTGTGCACAGCTCTTCTTTATATTTATCCAGACGGATTCATATTCAAGGGAGAGGGCGTGGGCTCGTTCAACTGAGAAATTCCTGCCCCTACATATAAGACTACCCCACCACCCTGTCTACTTTGACGGTCTCTGCGAAAGAGCTGGTAACCCGGTATCGAAATCTCAGCACTCACGATTTCGGTGTTAAGCCAAGTTTCCGTTATGGCGAAGACGTCAGGGATTCATTCGGAAACTATCGTTTTTAGTTCTTCGATCCTCGAAACGAGACTTTAAGCATTGGTATGCAAAAATCTTAATTTGGCACGAGCAACTCCGGCGTACAGGCGTTTATCCATTTCCTGGGATTGAGTGCAAAAGCCGATGGGACCTGATCGGGATGAACTGCTTTCCATCACTCCTAAGCTGTTAAAGTTATGGGCTTTCTCCAGAGGAATGGTCTCTGAACGCGTATAATCTTTCCGTCCACTATTCTGAGATTCGTCTCGCCCAGACTCGTCCGCCTGAGGACTTCCAATTTGAGCCCCCTCCATTTTTCTCGCTCCGCGGGTGAAAAGTCCCGCTGAAAAAACCAATGGATGAGCATGTTGGAGCGCAGATTTCCTGCTCAAAAGAAGTTGCGCCTGTTCGTCATTCTCGAAGACAATTTTTAACGTCTTGGTTGGTCAGGTATGCCCTTTATAACAATGCATTAACTGCGATCAACTAGACGACCTTGTGTTTCAATCATACCTGCAGAGTCTTCACCGCGGATATCCCGGCTACCGCCTTCCACCGATTTAGGAAGGTTTGACTCGGCAGGACTAACGCATGACTGCCTGTTTACTACGACATTTTGATAATTTTTCGTTTTCAGCGGCACGATTTTCGTCTGCGGTGTAACCCGCTCTTGTTCCCTTGTATGACTCTCTGTGCCTTTTTGAGGTACCCTGAGATTTCTTTTTGTTCGCTGAGATTTCGCCTGACCACGGTTTTCTCGCAAAAGACACTGGTTGTCATTCATATCAAGCTATAGCGACCTACTATTTTCTTTCTCCTCTGTCGACACAGCCGACGAAACCGTGTTTGCGTATGTTCGCTCACCTTCAGTCTCTTTGGATGAATGGCGAAGGAGATTCCTCAGCTTCTTTATCTGCGCTTTAAGGCCCTTTTTCTCCTTCTCCATTTTCGCAAATTTTCGAAGGAGTCTGAAACTTGTCGCACAGGCTTCGTCTTCGTATTTGATATCCATACAGCTTACTAGACTCCTTGCTCGTTTAGAGGGAGATGACTTGACAGCGATATTTACAGAGTTGCAGTCGTTTGTACTGCAAATAACGTGTACTCCTTCCTTTATTTCAGCCTGTTCTGCGTGCGCCGATATTGTAGTGGTGATTCCACTGGTCACCGTGTGACGGCATCTCAGTTCAATCCCGTTTGTGGCGAGCCTTCTGCACATTGTCCTGATGGTGTTTTGTCGACTCCCATTATAAATTTAAAGGATGCGCAAGGTATTCTAGGTACGGGACGAAATATTTAAAAGGTGTAAAAGAAGCTTTTTAACAAAGCCAACAGTATGAAGTAAATAGCAAACGACTCAGACACTCTTGGATCTGGAGAGTCTCGCGGTGCTGTTGGCAGAGAATTTAAACGAAGGAGAATGGTCGTCCCAAAGAAAGTTCTGTCGGAGTTCCGTGTCGGCCGTTCAATAAATTGCTGATAAACCTTCGATTTCCTAATCCAAATGGGTCCGCGCAGCGTCCAGTAAACAGAAATCCCCGAAAAGGCAAATCCGTCGGAGGTCGAAAATTCCAAACCGAATTCGAAAGGCACGCGTGTCTTGGGAAAGGCAAAATGTGTGATTTCTCCCACAAAGTAGTATAGGATGCAGTTTCGAGGGCGACGTTAAATATATATAGGGACGGGAAAATTATATTGGGCATGCGCTTTTGAAGTGCTAACTGGGACACCATCAGATCCTTGACTATGAGATTGGCGAAAACACCGAGTCGCCACAGTCACGTCCCACAGAGTGAAAGTTGTAGTTTCGAGAACGGGCCCGGTCGAAGTCTGGATGGGCGGAATCGGAGTGATCGAGTTTTTGATAAAAGTTTTGGACAGGAAAGCATTGAAACTATCAGCGGTCAACTAGGAATCTGCTATAGGATTCCCACAAGCGTCTCGTAGGATGGGATGCTTCGTTTTCCAATGAGTTCGTAATTTTCGAGAGAAAAAGTTTCAAGAAATATAACGAGCGGTTTTTTGCGAATCAGACCTCATCGACTAGCTGTTTTTCTTTGGACAATCTCTTAGCCCGCTCAAAAAATATCGCAAATCGAGGGCAGGAGAGAAGGGTTGTGCTGAAGATGGAATTGGCGAGAAAGTTCGTGCAACCTACGGCGAATTGTTAAGGGAAGGAAAGCCTCATCACCAAAATTAATTATTTACTTAAGAGAGCCAAAACGGGAAAAGAGCGGATCTTAAATTTCGTACAGTTTGGTAGTTCAAAGTATCAGCTGGTTGTGGGCGACTTCAGTCTTCCTGATGTCCGCTTGTCTCCACCTTCCAATCCAAAATATTCGAAAATATAATCGAGGTTGTAGATGTTGACATGTGGAGACGGGTTGTCAATGTTCCCACCCGATGATCAAGCATACTCGACCATGTTTTCTGTAGAGCATAGGGAGATATCAGTCCGATCGTAGGAATTAAGGTATGTTAATAATTCGGCCGAGCGAGCTGGTCGGAAAAATCGAGGACAAAATTTTGTCTTTCTCGAGTTTTAATGTTGAAGCAACTATGTTGTGGTCTTATTCCCCGAGTGAACACAGGGATGACTCTGAAAAAGGCATGCAACCTCTACAGAAAATTAAGTCAAGTGCGCTTGATCCTCGGTGGGAAAATTGACAACCAGGCTCCTCAACATGAAAACATCTACAGCCTCAAGTATGATTTCAAATTTTCGGAGCCAGAAGGTGGGAATCAGCGGACTTCAGGAAGATTGAAGTTGCCTGCAACCAACTGATACTCAAAAATTCATTCGGCTGCAGCATGAAATGCCTGCGAGAGACAGCGATCAAAATTCTTATAGGCGTTGATAGAACGATAGACACAGCCAACGAGAAGAGAGAACTTATTTTTTTAGAACAATTTGGATCCAGCAGCTGCCTTCTACGGGCGATCCAGCGACAGAAAGTCAAGTGTTTGCTTGACGTAGATGCAAATGTCTCTGAAACGGTTGCCCTGACGATCATTTTGAATGCAAGTATATCCAGAAGAGAGGGTTTGGAGGCAGCTACGGCAGCCCAATGAACCAGTTACTAAGACAATATCTGGACAATGGACGAACATCAAGGTCTGAAGGAAAGACATCATATTAAGCAAGGATCTGACCTTTAAAACGAAAAGTTTATGGAGAAAGACCTTTAGATTCTAAGAGAGGTGGACGACGTCGTCCAGCGGTTGACTGCCCACAGAACATATGGTTCGGTTGTGCCTGTGCGATTCAGCAGTGGCAGACAATTGTGGGGAAATTTTTTAAAGGAACTGGACATACCCAGCATTCGAGTGGCTGAGACGGCACTCGGATATCCATTTGGACTAGGCACTCGCTTAGGTGTACTAGGGGTAGCCGGCGGAGTCGGTAGGAGTGTTTGTCAACAAGGCGTGTTGTTGTGTTCAAGGGCCTCAGCATCAAGAGTAGTCGAATTCCCTACGGAATTAAATAAGCTATGACATGGGGAGGAGGCAGATAAGGTTGAAGAAGACTTATTTGAGATGACAACAGGTGCTGTTATATCCATGTTGGTTTTTGAAAGTTTCAATTTATTAAGTATTTTCTGCGTTGGTGTGAGGTCTTAAGAAACTGAGCAATGTCATTTACGACAGAAATGTCTAGTCATCTCCTTCCTCAGCTAGATGAAGCCGACTTCTATCACGTCCGTGAATTGGGACTGCTTGCTCAATGGAGATCGTAAAAGACATTTAACTCAATCCACTTCAATGCTGTTATCCAAATCAGCAACAAAATACGACCGGTCGAACTGCCTGATTAATTATGACCCGAATAGACGGCTACGGGAGACAAATAAAAAATGGAGGATATTCAGGGAAACAGAGTCACCAGTGCAAATCAAAGAGTCTCGTAGTCAACGAAATGCAGTCAAAAAATGCAGCCGTCAGGCGCGGAAGGAGTATAGATCCAGAATCATCCGACAGGCTGAACAGAAGCCCAAAATTTTATTTTACTATATTAAGAGCAGACTGAAAATGAAGGACCCGGTCGCAGTATTGAAGGACGATAATGGTGTAGAAATTGTTGAAAACAGCGAGAAAGCCTAACATTTGGGACGGTACTTTGCCTCGGTCCTCACCACGGAAACGAAGTTTCCTAGTCGTAGTGTCAGCAATGCTCTTGAGACCACTGGAGCCGTGCTTAACTCTAAACTCTTCCCGATATCTGTCGTGGAAAGGGAGCTTCAAAATCTCGAAGACGCAAAGTCCTCGGGTGCGGACATTATACTGGCCAAATTCTTGAACGAATCGGCGACTAACCTCTTTAAATCACTAGCAAATATCTTCCGTTCGTCATTTGAATTAGGAGACTGCCATCGACTGGGAGACAGAAACTATCTTCCCGATATACAAGGGGGAGTGTTCGCACTAATGCTAATAAATATCGGCCTGTTAGTCCCACCTGCATCTGCTGTAAAATGAAAGAAGCCATCGTTAATAATGAAGTTTCAATGAGGTTCCAATGAAGTTCCTGGAGCAGAATTACTCGCTCTCAGCGCTGCAGCACGGCTTCAGACAAAAACTGCTCGTGTCTTTCCTGTTTACTGCTCTCAACTGAGCAGAAGACGCGCGCAGTGGACGGGGATGGTAGGGTCGGTAGAAGGCGATCGACATCGTCCCACACAAAATTCTAATCTAAAAAAATTCTGAAATTAGATTAAGAGGAAAGCTTCTGATATGGATCGCAGATTTTCTAAATGGGACATCACAAACCGTTTGTGTTCAGGCCTCGGAGTCAACTCCTATTCCTGCTCTTAATGGTGTTCCCCAGGGCTCAGTCTTAGGGCCGCTGAAATTCATAGTTTACATTCACGATCGCGTCGAAGACTTAGGATGTAACGCCGTCATGTTTGCTGACGATGTTATGTTGTGGATAGCCATCAGATCTGACGCAGACAGGAACGCGCCTCAAGAGTGTCTCAGCCGGCTCAGCAGTTGGTCAGCTCGTTGGCTCCTCAGTTTGAATGTGAACCTGAATGTGTGGTGCTGAGCCTCCCCACACAAAGCACCAGTAAGGAGTGTGATTCCCTTGAATAAGTCCTTGACGGGCTCCCCTACTCAAATGTTGAGGAACAGAAAGACCTTGGCGTCCTAATGACCTCCTCGTTGAAGCCACCGTCACAGTATTAAAGTGCAGTCAAACGCGCGATACGGCTGTTATTTGCGCTGAGGAGAGGATTTGTTCAGATCGATGAGAAGATGTTCAGAAAACCCTACGCGACATCCGTTCGGTCTCAATTAGATTATGCAGTATAGGCCAGGCGACCGTGGTTGAAGAATGATTACCCACAACTGGAAAGAGTGCAGGCGATGGCTGCGAAGACGGTGAAGAATTTTGATTATCAATTTTTTCCTGTTCTAGGTGCACTCCTTGAGATAAAATTGCCAACATACAGTGCGAGACCGATCTCATGAAATGTTGTCCAAAATTCTGGAATGCGTTTCGGATTAGGAAGGATTACTTAGGTGGGGTTGTTACACTGATTATATTGCAACATACCTCTATAACATTTCGGACTTGCCAGAATGTCGGCCTTTGAATGCACTTCTTTTTGACCTCCTACGGAAACCATACTCGGTAAGAAATGACTAGGTATATAGCATGCATTTTTCTACCGATTTACGATGGTTTTATAAATTCAAATATATTTTGTAGAAAACATGCAGAAAATATGCTTTCTGTTGCTCATTTGGAAGGAAATCACATTGTTTTCATACTTTATGCCCAAAAAAGTGTATATTTAGGTTTAAGCAAAGTTTCTAATTATGTGATATTTAAGGCTGTGAGATGTCCATGCATGCAAGACTGCAAATGCACGTTTACTAATGCTCCTCATGAAATGTACAACCCAGTCCAGATGCATTGCAAAATTTCGTGAACTCTATGTGGTATCTTCTTAAAGTCATATAGGAATATATTATTTTCTTTGTGCGGGAAGCATGCACCTTGTAGACTAT